ATTCCTTCATGATTTAAAATGGCCTGATTGCAACTTTACATCTTTTGTTCTTATAACAAGTGCAGATCTATAAAATCCCCACCTCTTTCCTTCTCCAACCTGCACGCTTTGCTGCAGCTCAAGCACACCAGCTCACATTTGATGTCGCTCAAACACTGTAAAACTGCTCTAGCAGTGGAGTATGTAAGCCATGCATGTTTGAACCAGAATCCGGAACTGACCATGCAACTTGACAGGACTGCTTCATTGGGTTTGTTTTTAATCAAACCTGGAAAGTTCCCCCATGCCTTTGACTGCTTCATCTGCTTATGTAATGTCTATATAAAAAGAGCATCTTTAAGACTGGAGGAGCACTGGGGCTGTATAATGTAATATAATGTAAATATAATGTATCCTGCCACCAACAGCACCACAGTGAAACAACGCAAATTTTAAGGAGACGTTTGATGTTTTATTTGACCTTATCCTACACTTGTAAAAAGAAGCTTATTTTGTTTAACATTATAATTGTGAGGCCATGTGAGTCAGTATATTGCCTTACCGGCGGTGCTGGTGTCTTCTTCTTGCCAGCTTTTCTCTAGAAATACAAAATAATGACAACTTAAGTGCCCGAAAAATGACACTGTGACCATTAAAATGCATTTTTCTAACAAAAGAAAGAAGGTGCACCTTTCTTTTTGATGGCTGAAGCACCTGGTAAGGATCAGCATCCATTGGTCTCTCAAGTTCCTATAAAGCAAAGAAAAAAAAGCAAAATTAACTAAATAGAGAAGATATAGAAACAGAGTTAAACATGATCTGAGAGAGCGGTACTGACCTGGTAAATTTGACTGTTGCTTTCCTGTTTATTCAGTGAGAAAAACCAAAACATAAAGTGAAGCTTGAATGAACACATTTAATTTTTATTTATTCACATACGTAGGCGTCAGCAGCAGCTCATGTCAAATACAAAGAAACTTGAAGAGATGATGAAGTTACTTACCGGCTCAGGAACGAATGGAACACTGGGAAACTACAACGAGAACCGAAAGAACAAATGTTTGTGTTTAATCTATTAACTGTTATTTAATTTAGTCTACTTAGTGTTAAAGAAACAGCTGATCGATTAGTCTATTGATAGAAAATGATTTGCAGACTGTTTGGATAAATGCTCAATTTTTTAAGCCTTTTGTTGAGAGAAAATGTCAAAAACGTTCTCTCAGATGTGAGGATTAGTGATTTCTCTCTTTTTTTGTAACTATTTGACATGAATTAAAATGTGTTTTATACACATTTCTAGGAAATTGGGTGTTTCTTTTCATATTTAATGACATTTTACGCATGAAATTGTCAATAGTGAGATTAACTGATTAAGAAAATACTTAATAACACTCCTGTATTTCAAATTGCTAGTGTCTAATTAACATCAGAAGACTCCAAATGTGTGAACAAACAGAAAAAAGCTGCTCACATCTGAGAGACTGTAACCAGAAAATATCTGGTATTTTTAAATAACTCATTAATATATATGCTTTAAAACAAAACCAAATAATTATTTAGTAACATTTATTCAAATTCAATTGTCAAGTAACTTTTGGATAAACAATTGTAGAGTTCATTTGCAAACACACATAACTCCATTTTTGCAGATTTTCAGAAAACTTATTTTTTTGAGATAATATCAATCAAACTTGTAAGTTGAGAG